AAGGTTTCGAACCCCACTTTATAACCAAGTCCCCTCCATCAAAAAAAATAGCAGTGTTGCCCCTCCCCTCCCTCCCCCAAAGGCGTACAAGCATCACATATCACTCATCGAGACAGTGTCGAACCCAGACGTTTTTGTGGCGTCACGGATGGAGATTTTAAAAATAATCTCTGCCCACGCAGTAATGAACCGACGTATGCTGCCAACGCAAACAAGCGAAAATTTCTTAGAGAGATTGTCGGGAATTAAGCAATCCAACGCCGGGATTAGCTGAATAATCCTTGCAACTTAACCCCTTCATGAAACCTCCTCAACTGAGACGGGCTTAGAAGATATTTGGTGGGCTCATGAACTCAAAAAGAAAACTAGTACGACATTCCAGCACGTACGAGATCGCAGTCGTTGGTGTGTATAAAGAAATAGGGCAATAATCAAACACGTGCTTGCGAATTGGCAGCGTGACACTCCACTGTTGACACCAAAATGATTAAGGTGCTCGATCAAAACTCTATTTACTTACTCAGAGATCATGCCTTACTCGCGTGAGCACTTGGACGTTCTTCTCGCGATGTAAGTTTGTAAGGAGATGAAATCCTCATACGCGTAATCCCATGACTACTATAGCGCTACAGAAATAAAGGTTCACTGCCGGACCCACATAACACATTTACCACAGATTAAATAGAATGCAAAGAATGCAAGACTCTCTACACAACATATTTCATCCTACAGCATAATCTTCTTTGATCGTACATTGCCCTAATCCTTTCTCATTATGACGCATCGAAACAAATCTTGACGAGAAAATTTTCTGCATATAAAAATCCAGATTGACGGGTTGACCAGATCGAAGTCCATCTTCGATCTTTTCATTTTAGACGGTGAAGCATTGGAACAACATGTGCACAGAACCGCTTAAAACGGGCTTCAAGGACAAGTTTCTATGAGGGTTTCAGCAAGGGGAGTGGCGTGGATTTGAATTTGTAAGGAAGTACATACGTTTTGAGTATGGATAGATAGTTCAGTCATTACATAGCTAAATATAGAGGAGGCAGCCGGATATGTTATGCATAAACGCGTGGGTGATGTCCTTACATAGAAACCTCAGGATGGCTTCCAGAAAAAATGTTTCGGCAATGACTTCTCGCATAGCCTACAAGTTGCTGTTAGAACTACGTTTCAAACTTTCTAGGGGTCAGGGACTTTCACGGCGATACAGTAAATAATTAACAAGGCTGATGATAGGCTAATGATAGCTTTTCTGAAGCGAGAATGTTGCAAGAAATATTATTCGCAGAATGAAGTGGCCCCTAAGCCGATATACAGCCGCTGTCCTAGGACAAGTTATCCCACATTGCCATTTCCACGCAGAAGAAGTGATGTCTGGTGTGGCGATAGAGCATCAATTAACTGAAGGCTAAGATGTTAACAGCGTATTGCAGAGGCAGACCTGCGCCTCAAATCTGCCAAGCTCGTAGTACTCAGACTAACTGGGCGAGAGTGACTTCCTACAGCCGTCAACGTAGTCAACTTTATTCTTTCATGAAATGGAATCTGTTTCCGTCATTGAATAGGTTCAGCTGATTCTGTGAACCACTACAGACATTAGTTCAGACGGAGCTAGGTAAACAGAACATTGATACTGAAGTCTTTCGTTCTCACTTGTGACGTAGTAACAGCGTGGCTCACGTATTACTACTAACCTAATACACCTGCTCGGAAATTGAAACATGAATGTCTCGAACGTCACGCTCACGCGCGCACACCTACTGTGTTCCTGTGGAGATAGACTGAACTTCCGTTCAGGGCAAAGCAGTGTTCATATCGAAATTGTCGCTTCGCGGCGAGAGCGACGTCGCGCGTGAAAGAATGTAGCAGAATGAAGTAAAAGCAGCCCAGTGTGTAAGGAACTTAGGAACAAAAGAGGTAGCAACAGAAACATGCCGAAAACAATAATTGCATATAGATCGAGCTGTATGTAGTACGCTAGAGCTGCAATAATGAGGCAACTAGTTCGCGACTGCCGCATGCGGTGAATGGATTGCACAAAACCGATTCAGTGACAATGAGACCTCATCAGGGACGAATGGTACAATGAACGGAATTTTGCCATTCAGCAAGGTACCACGGGGTCCTCACAATCACACTGGAACTGAGGCCGTATATAAGGTTGGCCTTCCACCAGTGAGTCTGAATCACATCCAGTCCGAAGCGCTTGCTGGACCACTGCTGGCTTCTAAGTGGTCGCGAGGATCGGACTGATCTGGGGTAAGTGGCCAACTTACAATTGCATGATGACTTCTGAAGTCTCGAATTTCCGTAGGGTAGTTGATGCGTTTGGTCGGGTAGTCATGAATTGCTTCGATCTTCCCAGACTCTGTAGAAGGCGATTGACGCCCAAACGATCTGAGTTCAAGCAGAGAAAACCAATAGCGATAATTGGGTCCGGTATCTTCTCCCCGGACACAGCGTCGCGCTTGCCGCACCCGACGCGTATCGCATCAGTGCGATTGAAGATTGGAGCGCGCACTTTTGATTATTTGAACTTGATGGCCACTTTCTTCAATCCCAATGTGGTCTTGATAGTTGATAATTGGGAAGGTGTCATTACGAACAATCAAGTCTAATAAACATAACAACAAAAAAGAAACATTAAGAAGTAATCAAAACCAAACAAAAAAGAAAGACAGTCAACGACAAAAAAGGTGTCCTATCGATTGGCAGGGAAGTGGACTGAGTACGGTAATTGCAGTTTGAAGCCGCGAGACAACTAAAGAGAGGACAACAACTATAAATACTGTTCTTCAGAGCTTCCAGTTTATTCAATGGACCGTTGAACTGCGAAGTATTCGAAAAATTAAGTCTCCTGGAGGCTTTGCGGAAAATATGAATCATGAATGCTAAAGATTTGAATATTTTACCTCAAGCAACAAGAAACTTCACGAAGAATTTAACCCATTGGCGACCGCGAATTTCATATTGTTCTTATATTAACTTTTAATTCCTCTTATAACTGTAGTTGGAAATAAATGATCCCTGGACAACAATACCTCAGGATTCTCTAGAAGGCTGTGAGCTCAACTGATACTTGAAAACATGAACAAATCATAAGAACACTTGATAAATAATATAAATACTACAGGAGCACGATATGATGTGGCCCGCCGGCAGGCCACGCGGATGTTAATGGGTTAAATCCCTTGCCACTCATGGTTCCGTGTTTGTAGCTGTCAAGCATCGATAGAATAACCCCTAAAATTGAGCCTTCTCCAAAAGACGACATAGATACGTTAACCCGAGTAAGGGATACTTTGCAAAATAAGGCAATCATGTCATTTTGCAATATTTTCAAAAATGGTTATATGAATGGCATTTCCAAATGCAAAGTGAAAGAATCGAGTTCTCTGATCATTTCTTTGAATCTCAATCAGTCTCAATAGACAAGATGTAAAATCTCAAAATGCTACAAGTTTTTAAGTCAAACAATTTCCGTAAAGGGCAAAGCGTAGGTGCCCTTTTCTCCCTTGAAGCTTGCAGAAGCTCCATTCATTTACTGATTTCCCGGACGTGAATTACGGTATAGCCGCAGTGAATCACAGTATCGCTGGTTCAATCCAGTCTCTTGTCGATCAGAGAGCTCCTGGTAATCAGTGCACGCGGTCTCTAATGGATCTCTGAGGAAACCAGCAACCCAGTTGAACTCTTCCTACAAGGAAAGCATTGTGTAGAATGACGAATGGCCAATCGATAGGATGCCATATTTTTCGTTGACTGGCTCTTTTTATTGTTTTCTATTGTTTTTTGTCTCTTCCTTGTTTTTATGCTTATCAGACTCAATTGTTCGGAACGACTCCCCTATTATCGATGACCAAGCTTGCATTAAAATTGAACTGAAGAAAGTCGCCAGCAACTGTAACTAATTAAAGGACACCGTATTTAAAGATTTCGTGCTCCATTCTTCTATCGCATTCCTGCGATACGCGGCAAGTGCGGCAAGCGCGACGTTGTGTTCAGAAGAAGATACCGGACCCAGTCATCCCCTGATCAAAGAAACAACATGGTTTTTAATTAGTACTAGTTCGCAGAAGTTATAATCACTCTATTCTTATAAGAAAAGGTCTTCTGGTCATGGTGGTTTTGAGAGAAGCGGATTCTCTCGAATACTAATAACCACTGATCTTAATTAGATGACTTTTGGCTCTTGATTCCCCTTCTAAATGTCAAGGAAAGCTGATTCTGGAGCAAAGCTCACTTTGCCATTTCCAGTCATGGCGACATAAGTACGGCAAGAGGACGATGCTGTCTAATCATGAAAAGAGGCACACATCACGATAATTTCGGGGAATCTCGCTTCAGACGAATAATGGAAGTAATAGTCCAGAATAGCGCGAAACTGGCGAATCGGCATTAAAGAGATATAGGGTATCAAAAAAGTACCAAAATTAGGGGTTGGACGAAAATGTGACGACAAGATATGCATGGAGTAGGTATTTGGACGAGCTATACAAATGTGGGCGCCATTGCGTACAGCTAGCTACAGTAAGCTGCCTGCGTGCGACTTTTGCGTCGTGGTACGAATTTGCAACCTCAGAAGCCTCTACAACGCCGTGAGATTATCCGCCTTTGGGTGTTCAGGTTGCCGACTTTGGGGCAACTACTATTATAGGCCATTTTTCGACCTGACAGCACTGTTTGGGCTATCCTTGGGAGTCACAAGTTCAACTTCAAGTGGGGAAACGACTAATAACTTTATTTTGTGATCGACCATTTGAGAATAAACAAATTATAAGATGCAAGAGCAGCGATAATGTCACAGATGGACCACCTGGACTGGAAATGATATAGAAATAATAGACGATATAGAGAACGAGTCGCAACTGATGGCGAATAGCACTATAAACTGCAAAATTGGTAAAGTACATAACCTTCTTCGGTATTCTGAACTGTAATTGGTGAGAATGATTAACAAAAGGAATAGAATCGAATATCCTGTCATTTGACTAATCCCAGGTGAGCACTTTTAGTTGATAGACACAAGTATATTTTTGACCATGGTTTGTTCGAAATATCACTTGCACTTGATCAGTTGGAGAAGATCGATTCTGAATTCAATATGACAGAAACACGGAGCGATTATGCAAAATATAATGTTCAATTGGAGTAAATATCCACCTGTACTTCACAAATTTGAGAAGGCCCGTCTTTTTCATTCACAGGGTAACGGCACTCTGCTAGAAGGCTAACATTTTCGCATTCACGATCCATACATGCCTGTTGAATTTGAAATATTCTCAGGAACTTCAACTTAGGCTGAATTCGAAAAATTGATTGGTATCACAAGAAAACATTCGCGAGCCCGGTAGGCTGGGCAATCACTTAATATGGTGCGACCGAGCCACAAATCCTGCCATGATTTCGAATAGGGCTCCTTGTAGAGTACTGATGGAGCAAATATTTTTCATATATTACAGCCACTGAGTGGATTCTCGTGCAAGTTTATCTATATGTTTGAACTTGGCCCAATTCATGAGCTCGCGGTCATGCAATTCTCCCTTGCATCGCTTGACGTCATTCAATCCGTTCGGATCATGTTTTACCAACGTTATCAACTTGGCCTTATCTTTTAATATCGGCTTGGAAAGATTTTAGCAAAATTAGTCTTTGGCGGCAGAGATACTGTAGTCAACCCTACGCAATCGCACACGAACGAAATCTCGCCGAAACTACTTTCATAGTCATAATCGGGTATGGGTACTTACTTGCGTCCGAGGGTGCGCGCAGCAAATTGCGCGGCGAAATTCATAATGACAGGAACGAGTTTAGCGTCTATCATTGTGGCCCAAATTTGAAGTAAAGAAGAAGATCGCGATCAGTTGATCTTACTGATCTACTTTACTTCGAATTTGAGCCACAATGATATGCGCTAAAAGCGTTCAAATCGCCACGAATTTCGCCGCACAATTTGCCGTGCGCTTACTCGGACGCACGTAAGTTCCGTCCCCTGTCATAATCTCGTACGACCGAGGAAGTTGACCACAATTGGCAAGCTTCTTATTTCGCGATCCCTACAGGTTTTCTCACTTTCCTCGCCACTATTTTGCACATGCACTTCCGTCATTCAACTTAAAGGCAGTTTATGATAATTTCGGGTTATCCAATTCAAGATGAGTAATGGAAGTGATAGTCCAAAGTAGTACAAAAGTGCCGAAGAAAACGCAAAAATCGGCGTATTTTGAAAGATATGAGGCTTCAAAAAAGAAGTAAAATGATGGGTTGGACGAAATGTTACGAAACAAGCTGCATCGAAGGAGTATTTGGACGAGCTGTTCGAGTGCGCAGCACTGCATACAGCTGGCTGCCATGTGCTGCTTGCATGCAAGGAATGGGTCCTGGTGCGAATGGTAACCTCTGCTGCTTTTAAAACGCTTGACAACTTATCCCCCTTGGGTGTGTACGTCGGCTAAGCCGGTTTTGGGGCTCTTATTACTCCCTATCTTGACTGTTTTTCGACCCGAAAGCGTTCCTTGAGCTATCTTTGGGTTCATGCTGAGGAGTAATATCAGAAACCAGTTAAGGTGAATTATGTCTTCAAAAACTATAAATAAGGACATCATGAACCCTTAATCTATGCGTTCGATTGCCATGAGAAACGAGGTGGCATGCAGGTTCCTAACTCGCGCTACGAATTACACCATCGAAAATAACTGATATTTTTTGCACGTTTTACACCGTAACTATTTTTCGTTGTCGCTCTTATCGAAATTAACAGAGAAAAACGTATAAGCTTCGAGGAAGAAAGTAATTAGAAATGCACTCTTTTTAAGTTAGAATACAGACACTGTTCTCAGAGGAAGTAACGACGCTTAGTAGTAAAGTACAATTTGCAGTCTTCCTTCTGCTTTATGACAGATAAGATTTGGGAGAAATAGCAGTACTTTTTTTTGTAGGAATCCTGTCTTTGTGTAAAAGTACGAAGCCAACTAGATCTGCAGGTCCGCCTATGGCATATGAAATTTATTGCTCTGACTAGGGTTTCAAAGGCGTCGAAACATCGGATAAGATGAACATCTATTAATGAGGTAAAGGCCAACATTAAGTATATGGAAGAGGTGATATCGTCAGATTTAGCACGCCTGTTGTAACCTCAAACTAACAAATAATGTTTGGGATCGGTTTGTCCTTGCTTTTGAGCAAAAGCCCATGTTGTTCTAAAAATCGCGTGTTCACTATTACTCGATTATACAGCCTAATCGCTACAAATCAAAATCGCAAGCTTTCAGTAAGACAACCGCTGTTAAAGAATGTAGTTTTGCAACCAGGGAACGACTATGAAGTGCAATGGCATACGAATTCAACTCACCAAGACATCATACCGGTCAGGTGCGCTAATTGGAACGATATCATGCCAGTAGTCATGTTCATAGACAACCGCATCCACACTCGCATTAGACCATAAGCGAATCGTGATTTTGCCTTCTGAACCTTCGAAACAAAATGCTTCGGATGGCATAATGTGGGTGCGCTCCTGTGAATTGTGTAACATAAGGTGATAAAACGATTGCCATAATATTTGAAGCATTATTTTACCGTAATTGCGAAATTGTACGTTTCTAGCCCGAAAAGAGTGCCGAAGAAATTGTAGAGGGCGGAGTCCGAGGAAACAGCTTTTGAAGTTAAATGCGGAACCACAAATGCACCTGAAAATTATAAAATTTCAACACTTTCAAAGCATTGAGTCGATCAGCTCTGTAAACTCGCTCATATTCAGCAATGACTTCGAGGATATAATAATCGCCTGCGATGTGCGCTGAAGTGTTGAGCCCGATTTCAAAGGCGTTTAAGGTGATCTTTAGAGGGTTTCGTTTCATTCTAAAATGTTCAACGTGATGAGAAAAGAGTCCATTTGGTCCAGTAAATATACAGTTTCGAAAGGAATTGGTATATTAACAGTTACTACTCGTTCCCCTACCTGTCTGGTTACCCTACCTGGCACAGGGTGTTCTAAAGAAATTTCAAGGTGTATGAAGCCGTTTTGTTACAAAGACCAACCAATTTGTCACGAGTACACTTGACCTTTCCCTTTTCTGCTTCCCAAATTATCCCCTCGGTCGCTTGACATTGTGCGACCAAAAAGAAGTAAATGGAAAAGTGAAAGACTGTACTGTCAGCCGTTTTCAGTCTTCGATCTGTACAAAGTCGGAAAATATAGGCTCGTGTTCATTTACAAAACGACCTCTACAGAAAATTAAGATAATAGTTGGGACTTCTACTCACCGTGTGACCTGCTAGCTAAATTGACAGCTCCTCGTTTTTTCTCGACAGAATATTCCACTGCTCTCGAAGATGATGTCGCCGAACATGTATTCGTAGCCGCACGTATACCTTCACTAGCTACCGTGATTTGGGCTTCTACCTCAGCCAAGCGATTATTCAGTTGCCCTTCCAAAGTCCTCAGATGAGAGGAAATCTGACTGGCTAATTTTCGTGAGTCTGCATGAGCGAGTTCCTCTTTCTCGATTTTATATTTATCCATTACGGAGCGTAGCTGAAATTGTACATCACTATCAAGAATATCGACACAGCTAAATCAAGTAATTCTCTAATGACTTACCTCAGAAATCGAATAACGAACTTCCGTACGGACTTGCTCTATTGAGTTGCGCATTGTCTGTTCTATTCTTTGGAGTTTTCCGAGATAAGCCTGCTAAAAAGTCAGCAATAACAAACATCCGGAAAAGTGCCAACTTTGCAAAATGATCAAAAATAATTCAAGACTCCACAGGTATGTTTCAGACAAACTTCAGAAAGTTATGCCGAATGAACTTAGGCTGAAAAAGAAGAACTGTCCAAAGAATCTATCGCGTGCTTCTTCGCAATAACTGGTAAAAGACTGCTTGCCTGCTGCATAAATTGTTGCCTTTCAAACCTTTCCAAACGCATTTCCATTAGATGGGCTGTGTCGAGTGCGGTTTCATAACGCACCAATCCAGACTTTGGTAACATATCTTGAGGCAAGGCTAAATTGTTTGAGTTGTTTTTCTAGTTGAAATGAAACAACTGAAGATGATCGTAGGGTGACCAAACGAACCGTGTTTGAACACAGCAGCTATGAAAAGAATAACTCCCAATCCGACAATGTTGGTAGGCGTAAGAAACCAAAGCCATCGTGATAGCCACAACGATACATAACGAAATCTAAAAAAAAAGAAGTGCAAGAAATAGTGGAGTAAAACACTCGCAGTTTACTAAAAATGAGTTGAAGCTCTTGCAAATGGAAATAGTTTGGAAATGATCCCAATAATTCAAACCCATTCCCCTTTTTAAAGTCTCTGAGCTAGCCAGTTCGCTAATTCTGCTGCAGCTGCCGCCGTGTGTTGTGATTAAGCTGATTGCAAACCAGGTCAAACAGCAAACACATTGACAGACGACGAGATTTCTTGTTATTTCAAATATGGGGAGATTTCTTCATGGATAACTATTTCTCCCATACAATTCAAGCAAAATTTCGATTAGACCCAGCCTTCGAAGAAAAATCTACATCGAGTTTGATTCAATACATCTGGAAAATGTTAAAGAACTGTCCCTCCTAATAGAGGTACTACAGTTTGAAAATTTAAATGAAAGTAGCACTCACAACCCCTTTGAATCGATTGTCTCCGAAGATGATCGATTTGAGTGCGGTGGTAGATTGCTTGTTACCTGAACGAAATCAAGTCTAAGCATTCTTTACACCAGGCGGTAAATACTGTAAAGTGAGTGAATTACATTAACTGGTCCTGATTCGTTACTACGCATCGGCTTCCATGTTGTATCCCTGCCTGTTGCGAGCATCGTGGACAATCACAAAAATACAAATTGATAGAAATGTTGATAAGAAATAAAGAAAGAAATGTATGTCTTACAGTAGCCGAACTCTCATTATGCACTATATTCAATAAAACAGGATGAAAGACGCAAGTGAAGTACCACTAACGATAAAACAAGGGTCCCTCGTTCCTAACTGCAAAGGTGACATTTTCCACTACTGCGATGAAAATTATAACAGAGTCTGATTGAAAACCGATTTTCAGGTCAGCATTCAACCATGCAACTGGACACCACTTAAGCCTAGCTATTTCAGACATTGGAAACGTAGATGAGAACTGAAGAAAAGTCGAAATACAACCCAACACTCATGGAAATCAAACGTAGTGCAACTATGCTGTATGTTTTAAAGGCATAGTTCACGATAAATTTGGGTTACCTAGTTCCAGACGAGTCACGGAAGTGATACTCAAGAACAGTGGAAAAGTGGAGAAAAAAAGCACGAAAATCGTAGTATCTAGAGAAGTGTGAGGCCAAAGAAGAGTTAAAATTAAGGTTAGACGAGAACGTTACGAAAAAGGCTGCACGCAAGGGATATTTGGACGAGTTGTTCGAATGCGCGCGTCATTGCATACAGCTGGCTGCAATAGGCTGCCTGCGTGCAGAGTGTGAGTCCCGTACGAATGGTGCAACCTCTCCACAACTTTTACAACGCTTAACAACCCGTCCACGTTCGGTGTGTACGTCGGCTAAGCCGATTAGGGTAGCCTTTATTTCATCCTATCTTGACTATTTTTCAACCTTTAAGCTATCCTTGTGGGCCACAGGTTCATCCTAGATAATAATCTCAGAAACCATTTTAAACGTGAACTGTGCCTGTAACGGAAACGAAGTTTTTCTCGGCTCCTACAGGATCCAGCTTCGGGTCCTGGTTGGAACGAGTGCTGGTGATGCATTGCTGGCCCATTAATCATTCCATCACCATCCCATGTCTTTGCCTAAGTTGCGTCGTATATGTGCTATGTGAAAACTAGGGTATTTATGTAGTTGTGCCGAGAAAGGGGACATGTTGTCTGTGGAGCTCCGCGTCCATTGCATTTTATTTCACGGGAAAATCACTTTACGAGCCGATTCTGTTTGGCTTCACGTGCAATGACTACGGTGAGAAACATGATGTTGACTTCTAACGGGCAAAACGTAAGCAAGATTTCCTCAACAGATTTTTTAAAGGTCGTTTCAAATAAGTAGATTGTAAATAAGTATGGAATTATTACCAAAAAAAAACCTAGGACAAACACAAACCCATTATATAACTCTTCATTGATAGTAGAACAAAACACATGCAACTACACCAGAATTGCACAGATCGAAACAAAAGGACAAATCCTATAATGCTGATAGCGGTTTACAGAGTACCGTATGACCTCGTTATTCTAACAGTCCAAGAAGATAGTCTTACTAGAACATTCCAAGCTGCTTCATTTACAGAATTTCTTATGCTCTCAACAATCAATCCTCCGATAGAGTTAGTTGATTCTATGCAATTTCAACTTAAAAATAATGGGAACTGAAAAAGTATCATAGCACCAGCTTATAGCACGCAACATAAGTTTCTTACCATTTGAAAATTGTTGTTCAATGATTTCCGAAAATAGCTAGAGGTAAAGTTGGTGGAATTTGCCGTGCGGTAAAGGAAAAAAATATAAAAAATATCATGCAGAAAAGGTGGCTTTGACAGAATCCCACTTAATAAGAAGGGTCTGCTAGGGGAAAGGGGAAATCATAGTACACGTGTTAGGAACAAAAATACACCCATCAAAAGCATTACGAAAAGGGAAAAAGGACTGATGCGGGGAATAGCATTTCTCACGTTAGCAGACAAACTCCATGAAAATACGTACTGCACAAAATACGAGAAATGGGTAAAATGATAATCAATCGTTATATGTAGTGATCTCAGACTAGATGCTCTAGAAATCCTCTGATTATTTTATGATTCTGTAGATCTATGAAAAATATGAAAAAATTGAGCTGAAAGTAACAGAACAGCCGCACGTTTTTTTATAATCCTTTCACTAAAAACTTATCAAACATCTCGGAAAACCCTCAATGCTCGGTTAAGTATCCCGTAATCAAAAATAAAAAGGAAACAAAAATTGTCTCACTTCGTAGGAAGGTAACATAGAAGTTATTTGATGAGATTTCCGCACATCCTTATACTGCAAGGACTCAGCAGATCTAGATTTTGTCAAAAATATCGTGTCAAAAAATCTAAATATTTTCCAAAATTATCGCTTCGGAATTGAGATGTTGAGATAACGGGATAAAAGAACTAAAATTCGAACTCCTACTCTCTCTAGTCGTTATCTTCCTTTACAATTCTCAAGTTATCCCCAGGTATACCATGATTCACGTTGAATGCGAGGACTCCTTCTCTGCAGATCACAGTGTGAGCCAGCTGTCTGAAAAAGGCCTTTGAGGGCAGTATTCATAGCCCTAATGGGCAAATTGCAATCACTGGGACAGCTTTCAGAGTCTGCAATGTGCAATGATGATGGAAAAAATATCTAGATCAAATCATGGCTCACTTTAGCGCATAGTCAAAATCCTGTGGACTGATGTCTAGAAAAGCTTGCTTTATGGCTATCGAAAGTTTATCACCAGTATAGGGTCTTGCCATATTTTTCAGGGCTTGATGTGCATTGCGAATGTTGACTGCAAACTCGCCCGATACCGTGTTATTCTAAAAGGAACCATTTTGTGGCACAAAATTCAAAAAATCTTGGTCACCACAAAAAATGTTATTAAAGCGAAAAGTCTCACAGATCTCGCGATGAATTCATGTGGCAGGTGGAAACGGAAGTCTGAAAAGTTTCTCTCATGTTTCTCTCATTGGAAGGATTTTTCTGCTTGCACTACTACTACTTTATATTCAATTTGGAATTGTCAGGACCTAAATTGCCCCCCCTCCCCCTACCCCCCCCCCC